ACAACTGGTACGGTTAAAAAACCGTTTGCAACTAGCATGCTTTAAAAAATTGTTGAAAAGAATATTACTGGATATTGGAGTTAAGCTTTTCATTAGGTAATGAGCATTGCATCTAACTTTTGGGTGAAAACTCTTCATGTGTTGAAGGGAATCGGGGAAATATTTTGGTGTCAACGCTCTGATACGAACCCCCGTTCTGTTGGTCTTTAGATTGATAGATTAAGCTTGAAAGAAGAAAATTCTATTTATGCATTAAAAAAAAGTTTCAATTTATGTTTCATTGCTTTAAATCTTATTTATTTTCCGAGTCATTTAAAATATAAAAATATGAAACCCTGTTAAAGTTTACCAAGTACTTTCAAGTAAATAAAGTTAACTACATTAATTTAAAATCCTATTTATAAAATGCAAGTTCAGAACAAATTTGACACTTTCCCGTTTAAAATAATAAAAGCATTTCTAAATCGTTTATTTTAGAAATGCATTCGCAATATAAACTGTAACTAATTAAACTAAAAAAAATCTATGCATAACTCACAATATCGAATTATTTAGTTTCAGTGATTTACATACAATATGAGCTACTACATTAATTATATATAACTATCAACCACGTGCGCTCACACGTAAAGTACTACTAAGTACTTATCGAATGTAAGAAAAACATTAAAAAAAACAAATTCCATATTTTTGTCAATAGCATTAAAAAATAAAATATTTTTTTTGCAAGCACGATTAGATTTAAAATATTCAAGATTCAGTCCCTCCAATCTCTAAAACAGAAACCTTTTCTCAAGTTTCAACTCAAGTTCCATTGTTTTAAATCATATTCATCTTCCAAGCCATTTAAATTATTAAAATCATAAAACCGCGTTTAAGTTTACCAAGTACTTCCGAGCAAGGAAAATAAACTACATTAATTTAATCCAATTTATAAAATGCAAGTTCAAAGTAAATTTGACACTTTCTCGGTGAAGATGATAAATGCATTTCTAAATCGATAAGCAAAAGGGAAAATAAATCTCTCTTTTTAACAAGTTATTTTAAAGAAACAACTTACCAATGTTCCGGGGAAAAGCGTTACCTTAAAATCGATGATTTGTGAAAAAAAATTTCGCTTACCCATTATTAGATTTTAATATGTAATAATTTTTCTTCGTTTCACCACTTGTTCAATAATGACTTTTTTTTTATGAAATGAAAAATGATTTCCGTATTATGTGTGAAAAAATAAATTTTAATTTTATTGAGGAAGATTGATAATAAAAATGAGTTTATGCTTATTAATTATACCATTAATGTATTTAAAAAGAATTTGTTTTAATTCAAAAATTATATTGGATTCATTTAATAGTTTAAATATACGTGTAGAACATAATACTGTTTAAGTTTTGTAAGTTACCTTTGATCAGGAATACTTTGGTAGCTTCTTCGAGTAAAAATTTCATAGGCAGTGCGGAAAAAAAATTGTACTCTGAATAACTTTTGATTTTATGATTGGATTTTCATGTTCTAGGATCCAATCTTCATGTTTTTGAGAAGGTGACCTTAAATATGCTAATTAATTAGTGCTGACGATAATCTAAGTTAATTACTCAAAAACAAAACGCGATTTCTTTGAATAAACATCCTGCTTTTTCGACGAATACAATTTTTGACACCCCCTATCTATAGGGGGTAGCCGTAATCTGGAAAATAAGGTAGTTTTGTAAAGAGTGTTGTTCAATGTTTGGACCTCTTAAATATAATTTTACTTTTTACGTATTTTGCTATATTTTGGGCCATATGTAACTTTTCGCCATATATAACTTTTGAAGCGAATTGAATAATTTTTGCGCACAATTATAAAATCCGCTTATTCAAAGATTCGTTTATTCAACCTGCGAAAAATAATTTTTAGAAAATATTTATTATTTTTATTACGTTATTTTATAATAGTCGAAACAATTTTGAATTGTAAGCTATACAAATTTGTACATCATTTCAAAATATGTAATTTTTTATGGCAAAATGCAAGATTTCAGCAAAATCTCTGAAATAGTTCATGAGAAATTGATTTTTGAAAATACGACAGTTTTCAAATTCGATGTCTCAAAAACGATTTGACTTTTTTTGCACACTCAACTTTTCTATCAATTAGAAGGACAAGAAACAATTTCTAGATTTAGTTTTTGACTTAAAAAAGTTGATATTGTAATTAAATATTAGTAGATAGCTATAAGCATTTCTAGCTGTTAGCATATATAATTGTGTATTTACGCTGTTTAAAGGAAATCTGGAGAAATGTTTTCTTTTCCTTGGAGATGGGCATTTTATAACAACTTATGTCATTGAAATGCTGGGTTCTACCACATTTTTTGGAAGAAGTGAACGACATAATTTTGTCTTTGCTTTAACATTTTTGCGAGATAATGCTTTATAGATAATTTTCTCCAAAATTTTCATAACCACAAAGCCATTTGTTCGTAAGTTCAGGGATCTTTCCTCAATAATTTTAATGTTTTGCTCCATTTTCATCGTTTTTTTTTCATCTGAAATGGCTACCTTATGAATAAAAATGTCAGCATGGACGTATACTAAACGTTTTAAAACTTTGTGCCAGAGGTGGCAAAGTCTGCCCGAGTTTTCTATGGATCATGGTGAAACATTACTCAACTAAAAAGTTACATGAAAATTATGGTAAAATTCCACAATCATGTGCCTCCAATGGACATAAGTAAAGTGTCACGAGAAAAAATGTCAGCTTCGTTCTTACTGCTGGAGTCAGTGCTGCATACCAACGGTTTTGACATTCTGAAAGCTAGCGAAAGGTGTCCCGATTTTCTTATGGATCATGGGGCAGCGTTGCACAACCAAAAAGTTACATGAAAATTTAGACGAAATTTCACAGTCATGTTTTTGCAATGGTAATTATGTATAATATAATTAGTAAATAACGTGAAAAACTTACCAGCTCACAGGTCAGAAGCTCACAGATCAAAATTGCTATGGTATTCAAGTCGCATGCTCAACAGTCAGGTAACAAATTATTTATTTTCAAACTAATAAACTATTATTAAATAAATGCAGTTGTCTTAATCTTGCCAACATTACGATTAACAACCCTGATTTTTCTTAGGACTTTTTAATTGTCAATCAGCAACAGCTTTTTGCTGTTCAAACTTTTCTTATAGAATGATCGAAGTTACAGTCCCAGTAAAAGATATTAATGAACTTTATTAAAAAGCGAAATATTATTTGCTTTCAAAAAGATTATTATAATGTAACATCAAGTGTTCTAACACCATATTTTTACTAGAAAATACGCAGAATTGAGTCAGAAAATAAACAAATAAAAGCTCTGGAACACACAGGGTTTTCCGTAATCTCTGCCTTTTTTATATATTTTTAAAACCATTGTGTTTCTCCTTAAAGGTGAAAAAAAAATTTTAGTACGCTCTATTAGTCCTACCAAATAATAAACTGATTTTACTTTCATCTACATTGTTATTTATCGATAAAGTTTTTTTTAAATATTTTAAAAACCATTAATGTATATGTTCTAATGATTTTTAATGCAGCTTTAATATTAAAAAAATTAAATAATATATTGTTATAAATACCTTTTAATGAAAAATTTTCATGTTTGTCACAGTTTGAAATATAACTAATTAAAAAAATTAAATTATTTTTACAAAAAAATAATTTTTTTTTTGGTGCCAAAGACATCACTAGTTGCAAAAAATAATTAATCGACGGAATGAAATTTCGGACAGGAACTAAATTTTAACTACGTATTTTTTAGAAATTTTAGATATGTAAAATTTTTTGCGAAAGAAAATATTTGTCTAAAAAAATCTATTTCTTTGAAAAACATGATTTTTTTTAATAAAATTAAGTAGTAGTTAATTACAATATATAACCTTAATTTTTAATTTATTATAAAATTTATTTGAAAATTACATTTATTAAAATTTTTTTATTAACTTATTCTTTAAAATTTAAAAAGTAAAAGCCTTTTTACAGGAAAAAACTTCTACCGGAACAATTTTTTAATTTAAGAATTTTTTGATGAATGTTTCCTAATTTTTTCATATGTCTTTAAAGAAGTTATTTAAAATATCTGGTTTGAGATCTGATTTCTTCTAAAAAGTAATAAAAACAGTATTTAAAAAAACCTAGCTCTTTAAATTGCTATTTAATGAGCTCGGTATTCAATATTTCTCTAAGGCAAATAATTAATGACGGGATAATAATAAATTATTTATGAAGGATATAAATTATTAATTTATAAAGTAAAAACACTCATTATATTATGAAGCTTAATCAATTACAAAAGATGTGTTGTATAAATTACTTTAAAAACGCGTTTGGCAAATGGTGGCTAAGCTCCCCATGCTATGAATTTGATTTTAAAATCATTAAGCCAACTCATCAAATATTTTAATCAACAAAAATAGTTTTGTTATGCAATATGATAGCTAAATTTTTTTATAGAAGTTTTTCATTGTGTTCGTGCTAAATTAAAACTATTGGATTCTAAATGGAAAGTAAACAATCGCATCCAAACTTTAATCACTAAGAATAATTCGGAAAACAATTTGATATTTTAGTTTTAGATAGAAATACCTTATTGTTTTAATGCTCAGTTAAAACTATTAACTTTGATGATGGCAAGTAGCCATCGCTTCACAGCTTTAACTATAAAGAATAATTCCGATAAGAATAATTCCGATACTTTAGTTTTAGAAAGAATGCCCATATTTTGATGCTCAGTCAAAACTATAAACTTTAAATGATGATCGTGGCCATTGCATCAAAGTTTAAATCACTAAGAATAATTCTGGTAAACAATGTGATACTTTAGTTCCAAAAAGAAATATTCGATTTCCTTCCTACTTATTTAAAACTATTTCCCAACATTCTAATACATCTTAGCTTACCGCAAATTATGAAACGTAGCCTAGAAATATAATTAACCGATTATACAGGTAAAAGAGAAGTGAAAAAAAAGTACTTACTTTGAGCTTGGGCAAGGAATGCTATCAAAGTCAGCCCCACGCTCCCTATCTTAAGTGGGCGGAAAAGAAAAGTGGTTGATGACGTCATGCCTTACATCTTTGGAAACATGAGATTCATCTCCTGTCGGAAGGAAACGTCATCAACTTAGTCCCAGAGAAAAATTAAGCAAAGTAAAAAGCAAAACATACCATTAAATAGCCGCAGTCCCATCTAGTGACCCGGGTTTCTAATGTAAAACCTCATAATTAAGCCATTAAAGCCGGATTTACAAGATGGGATTTTAAAAGAAACAAAAAATTGACTTACCCTTGGATGATTGATAGACTTGCACTTCTCAAATATCGAAGAGTAATTATCTTTTTTTATATATTCCCCCAGACTGTTTGGGTATTAAAATTTTGGTTAAGTTCCTTTTCCGCATGAATAATGATAATTTTCTGAGCTAACATTTCGTCTTTTGACAGATTATTTGAGAATTTTTAACATTTTTAAGCAGCAATTCCAATATCTAGGGAATAAGAACATGGTTAATTTGTTTTAGAGTGTTTCTGAGATCGTATGGCGTTAACTTTTTTTTTTTAAGTTTACACTATCATGTTCAAAAGCATATTGCCTGGCAAAGTTTTGAGACTAAATTTTATTCGAAATAAATTAATGAAATCTGATGAATAAAAAATTTTAATTCTGATTTTGTTTAAATGAATACATTTTTAATTAAAAACACTTAAAGTTAAACTATCTTGATCGATTATTGTGAATTCATTTTGTATTTAAAATAGGCTGTGGAGTCAGAGTCGAAAAAGCTTACTTGACTACGAGTCCGATTAGTTACATCTTCAGATTAATGTCCCTCAAGTTTGATTTTACAAAGAAGTTTTAGAAAATGTTTGCATGATCAATAATAATGCATACAATTTGTATTTAAAATAAAAGCTGTGGAATCAGAATCGAAAAAATTTGCTAAACAATGAGTCAGATTAGTTACAAATTATGTTCTTCCGGTTTGATTTTATAGAAAGGTTTTTGGCAAATATTTATAATTATACAAACCAATGCAATATATAATTTAATGTTATGGCAATATAAGTAATTTAAAATATAACTTAGAATAAACGCAATTTATCACATTTAAACATTTTTGAGCGAATGTTTGTTTGAACTGTTGAAGAAGTTCAAAGAAAAATTATGAACCTATTGAAAAATTTACATAAGTAAATGACTTTTTATACTTCAGTTATCTTTCAATTCTTAAATCTCGAAACCAAAGTTATTAGCTAAGTTGAACGTTAATGTTTAAGCGTTAAAGTTGCGACGTTAATGTTAGCTAAGTTAAAACGCTTAAAGTACCACATCTAAAAGTTTTTCTGTTCACAAATATGCTTGTAATATATTGGTACCTAGCTTTTCTATAACTATGATTTTTCAAATTTCTGTAATTTGTGTTAAGAATTTCTTTGAAATTTATTTTTCTTGTTATTTTGTTATAATATAATTCAGTCATTATGTTACATTATTTTATAATTTTAATTGAATTAAGGAATTTACTTTATGATTAACATTCACATACAATAATTCTTTTTTAATATTCGGTAAAAAGTGATATCGAATATAAGTCGGAGCTGAGCCGGTGATTGAAATACAGCGTTTACAAATTTGGAGGGGAGTTAGGACGCATTATAAGGATAATAAGGACGCATTTAGAATTGCATCGAAAACAATGACTGAAAATGCCACCCTATACTGCTAGGAGCCTTACCTGTTCGTGCTTCATGGAATTGGTACTTTCATTATCTTAAATTACATTAATTTTAAATTTTCTTATATGTATTGTTGAAAGTTACATTATGAAAAGATCAGAAATAACTGTTTTATTGTAATTTAAAGATTTGGTGATCAAACTGGCGAGTTTGTCAGTCAGTCGCCAATTCATCAAATAATGATGAAACTGCTTTATTTTTGGGTCTATTTGAGAAACATAAAATTAAGGTGCTTTAATACAGCTCAAAGATGCATAATAGAGAAGCGCCGTGGCATACAATGACATTTTCAGCCATGGGTTTCTTCCTTTTTCTATCTTACTGATGAATCCTACGTTTCCTTCACGTTTGCTACCTCTGTACTGAATCATCCCTCAGTGAGAAAAAATATGGTTAAAACTATCTGAATATGGTAAAATTTACAGCATTTCTGGCTCTGGGAACACCAAAAGGTACGGTAATTTTCATTGAAGCGCTTTAGTAATGACAGTTTGCAAAATTAACATTAAAATATGGTAATATTACTATACTATTTGTTAGTAAATGTGGTAAGACGTGTTAATTTTATCATGATATCTCAAAGCTTAACGCGAAAACCATTTATTCGATGAAATTTACTTTTCAGTTTTATATCTTTGCTAAATATGAGGTAACAAGAACTATAATTTTGAAAACCGGAACTTTCGATGAACCATTACCAAGAGAAAAAAAAACACTACCAAATGGATTGTATAAAAACCTTATATTTTGGCTTTATTACGGAAATTTTTTTCCGCGTGTATTAACTTCTTGAAAAGAATTATCTGGACTTAATAAGTAATATCTTAAATAATTTTACTATTATTAAACTTTCTAAGAAATCGCTGATTTGGCAAAATATTTCACTTCCATTCTAGCCATTAAATCACTGAATAATATTCAATTTCGCGGATTTTAATTTTTTTTCATAGATAAATTGAATGTTCTTTAAGTTTAATGTTTCTTCAATGTTTAAATATTCTACATTTTCTGAAATAAAAGCAAGACGAAATTTTTCGAAAGAGATATTACATTCCTCTAATATTTATGTAATTCTTTTCGTATATAATTATTAGAAATAATAGTTCTAATATTTCATATTTTTCTCATAAACTTAGCATAATCGGTAAAACATAGGTCATAGGGTATGCGCCATTTTTACTCTACTCTTTAATGCAAATTTATGAAACAAAATATAATGTTCCAAAACTCAAACTCCAAAGAATCCTTTATTCTTAAGAAATTGAATTTATTCGTTGTAAAGAACTTATTAGGAAACAATGACAAGGCCAACCGAAAAAATATAAAAAATTAAGCGAACAAAAAATTTAAAAATGAAAACATTATTTAAAAATGTGGCATTGTTGCATTGTTGTTGTTGAAATAAATAATTTGAACAGAAAAGAAATGTTGCATAACATGACCTTAGTTTGTGCTTTGAATCTTTGTATATTAACCCTTTGCTTACGGTGTACCATATTGTACCATCACACGTGGTCCATGTGTTGTACCAGCAGTAAGTAAAAGGTTAATAAGATTTATTTTTATTTTAAAAGGATAAAGTTTCTAGTCATACTTATTTGAAGCATTTTAATTTGCGCTTTAAAATATTCAAAAAATTTTGTTAAAAAAATTAGGTAACTCATGCAAACTGCGAAATAAAATCATTTTAGTTTTTGAAAACTAAATACGGCCCCTAATCTTTTCCTTTAAGCAAATATCTTGATGAAGTTTTGACCATTTAATTTGCATTTCATTGGTCGAAACCGTAAAAATCTTTTACAAAGAAAAAGGAAATCTATTAGTGTATTCTCTTCTTGGCAAGTTTCCAAATATTGAGCAAACAGTTTCCTTTTCAACTTAATTGAGATATTTTTGTTGGCGAAGTGAAAATACCATTATATTCAAATTTTAAAATCGAAACAGTTTAAGAGGTTTAAAGAAACGATTTGTAAGCATAACACTTTGCTGAGAAGAATTTTCATTTTTGTCTTATATCCAAGGGAAATCTTTATAAAACTTTGGAACGATTCCAGCTCTCTATATTTTTGCATAAAATGCAATCAGTCAGGAACAACGACTTCGTAGGCGAGTATACAGCTTTTGTAAATATCTATCACTGTCTTGAAGTTCTTTTCGATAAAAAAGAGATACTTTCACAACTTAAGATGCAATAGATTCGGTCATACTAAAATATGTCACAAATAAGTACTCAATTGAACACGTTTAGCACTTTTTTTAAATGCATTTTTAGATCTAAAAATACGTTCATTTATTTATATTTTATTATTTTTCTCCTGCAAAATTGATGGCACAGAGCTAAAAAAAAAAAAAAACACCAC